TGCAAAGCCCTGCATGACGAGGTGGAAACGCGTGAGAGCGCCTGGCCGGGCCCTGAGCTCGTGCCGGGAGCAGGACGGCGGAGAGCCGTCTTCAGAGAAGGGGGCCCTCTGATCTGTTACCCTCGGAGGATTCTGCACACAGCCTGCCACCAGTAACTGTGGCCGAAACTTTTCCTTCAATACCAAGTTTCTGTTGTGAAAATCTGTCCAGTCTCTGCCTTGCCACTGAGTGCTGGAATAGGATCCAGACGCGTATTCTGTGAGCACATGTGTGAGCATCCGTGCGAAGCACCTGCCTCCCAGGGCAGCAGGGCACCGCTCCACTCGGGATCAGTCCCCTCTCAGACCGTGCCCACGTGTGGCCTCACCTGCCTGACCTCCCTCGGGGAGGAAGCTGGAATCAGAAAGGAGAAATGAAGGTTTCGGCGGGTGTATCCATTGAAACACACAGTAGAACGAACAAGTCCGACTCATCAGTTGCAGGCTTTCGTCTGGAGAATCCCTCTTTTCTTTCAAATATCATGGCGTTTGGTGGGAAGGATTCGCGTAGTGACCCGGGTGACTAAGATGGGAAGGGTGGAGCTGGATTGGTCTCCCCTTGTTCTGGAAGAAGACAATAATTTTCTAAATCTGTTTTGTCTTAGAATTTAACATCACAGAAATCGAAGTTCTCCGACCCCAAAGGTTGTTGGATTATTTAGCTGGCATAAGTGATGAGAGAGAAAGATGGGTTTATCTCATTAGGTGTATAGCGAACCAGCAGTTAAAAGATACTCGCCCAGTGGAACCCACAGAAGCATGGATAACGGCCCGTCACATAACCTCCAAAGTGAATCACCGGAAAGCTTTGCAGGAGTCGTGGGCCCTCCCGCAGGAGTATTTCATATCATAAGATGTCCAGGCTCAGCATAAAAAAGAAATTACAGCCAGAATTATTACTCTCCCAACTTGACCCAGGTCAGCTACTAAATTTAATTGCCTGGAAATCTTTAGCCCTAAGGTGGAAATTACGTTGAGTGGATTAATCTTGGTTTACACAGGCCACTGGATTAGAAGGCTGGAACTTCTTCCTGCTTCTGACTGCCTTGAGCCTTATTCTTACGCCCCCAGAAGTCCCCTGGCCACGTGGGGAGTTATCATTATCAGAAGGCCTCACCCAAGCAGAGGTCCCCACACAGACCTGTGGTCTGAACACAGTACCTTCAAGTCGGACCAGATCTCTGTCTCCTGAGGCTTAACCCGCTGGGCCCTCAGGCGCTCGCGCCCTGGGCCATGCTCCTGGGGGCTGGTCCTGATGTCGCGGTTGCCTGGCAACTGCCCGCATCACCCTCCTGGCTCTCCCCTCAGGCAGCAAACTTCCCAGACCCCAGGCCTGCTCCACACTCGCCTCTCAGTTCCCCAGACCCAGTTGCTGAATGTGAGCGGATAAAGCAGTCAGCTGCAAATCCTGAGGGGTGAAAAGAAAGCACCCAGGAGCTTACAGTTCAGGGCGGGCACAGGTACTTCCACTCCAGCAGACGCCGGGGAAAGGTGGGACGGTCCTTGGCTGCCCGAGTTTCTTGCTTCGCCATCACAAAGCCCCGCAGACCTGGCGGCTTACACAGCAGAGAGGTGCTGTCTCCCCGTCTGGAGGTGGGAGTCGGAGGCCAGGGCGTGGCGGGCTGAGTCCTTACGCGTCTGTGAGCGAGGACGTGCTCCCTGTGCCTGCAGAAGCCTCACCCCATCTCAGCCTTTGCCTCCCCCAGCCTTCTCCCTGCTGTGCTCATCCAGATTCCTGCTCCCTGTGAAGATGCCAGTCATGCGGGGTGAGGGGTGCCCCCTCCTCCAGCACGACCTCATCCCCACTCATTACTCCTGTGATGGCCTTGATCCAAATGAGGCCCCACTCTGAGGTTCTGGGGTTGGGAGTGCACCATATGAATTTGGGGGAACACGGTTCAGCCCACAGCATCTCCAAGAGGGTGTCCATAGAAATCCACAGCCAGAAGAAACTACAGAGAAGCACCTGGCTGATGGCACACGCTTGACAGGTGATGAGACAGGCCCTCGCCCGGATCAGCTGCCCCGGGCGCCATGGCTGAGGAGTCTGGAGCTGGCGTGTCCACCTCTTCATCCCCTGAAGATACAGTGTCTTCACCCTGAGTCTCAGCCTGCCACTGGCTGCAGGTGTCCACGGTTGAGGAAAGTGCCTAGGGCACCCGTGGCAGGGGCTGGTGACACTCAGGTCGGTGATGCCACCATAGTCTGCCCGGGAAACCAGTCGTGGGGGAAGAGGCCGGGAATCTCAGGCAGAAATCCCCCTGCCTCTCCCCTGAGGACTGGCAAGCCTGAGGAACCAGCAGAATGAGTTCCCTCCACCTGGGCAGGAGGCGGAGGCTGGGCTGGGGCAGAGGCGGGGTGGGGTGGTGCTGGAGGAGCAGCGGGGTGGCGGGGTGGGGCAGCACCCAGCCAGGCCAGGCCTCGCCGAGGCCAGCAGCCGGTGGATGGGGGGCCAGGGAGGGGGCAGGGGTGTTTTCTGTGTGGAGAATGGTGAGATTTTACACTTTCATGCTTGTCAGAATGGAGTCCAACCTGTGTTACTTCCACGGTGGTGTTTGTGGAGGCCTGGCTGCTGGAAGACTGAGTTATTTGGGTCACACCCTTGTTTATTATGCAGTGTGAGCTATTCCTGGGAGAGGCAGGTGACCCCCAGGCCCTGCTGCTGTCAGGAGGGGCCGCCCCACAGGGCTGCCTAGGGGTCCCCTGGGTCTCAAAGCCTGTGCGGTGCGGGGAGGGAGCGGTGCAAGGTGGGGGTCCCAGGCCCAAGAAGCATCACGCGCAAAGTGGGGGGTGAAGAAGGGCGCCGGGAGCAGTGTGAGCTCCACGTGGCCGAGGGGAGGGAGGCGGGGAGGCAGTGCCGGCTGACCGCCCGCCCGGGGGCTGCGAGTCCCCCAGGTGGGGCCCCTTCGAAAACTTGGTTCTCAATCGATCACTCTGACACTGGGGCCGTGAATTAGAGGACGACCCTCGGCGGGATGTCTGGCTCGTCCCTGTGGGCAGCTGCAGCTTCTCTGGAAAGTCTTGGGCCGTCCTGAGAGCAGGCGGTGGAGGTTAGGAAGGAGTGAGACTGGATGCGCGGGGGCGGGAAACCCGCGCAGCCCAGGCTCTCAGGGAACCCCGTGGGCAGAGCTGAGCCCCAGCTGAGCGCTTCTGTTTTTCCTGTTTCTGTCTAACCCTCCAGAGTTGACCTCCAAAAGGTGCGCTTTACCGATCTGACTTCAAACACAGTCCACCCTGGGCTCCAGGCATCTCATCCTGGCTCCCACTGGCACTGCTGTGACCTCTCACAAAGGGCCGGCCTTTGATGGCTTGGCCAGGACCAGCCAGTGCCCCGAGCCTCTCGCTTGGAGCTGACAGCCCCAAGCCAGCCTGGGGACGCTGCTGGAGCCCCGACCTCAGCCGGCAGTGTCCCGGGAGACAAGCAAAGATTTTAAACATGAAATTAAATGAAATTTCAAGCTGCCAGGAAATACATTAAAACTGTAAAAAGAATGTGTAGATAATCTATAAGTGATTAAGAAGTTTAAAAAAGAAAAACAGACTTAGAGTTCAAATCCTGGATAGTTACAGACTGGAGGTGCAGCTCAGTGCTGGAGGGCGTGCTCAGCATGCCAAGGCCCTGGGGTCACCTCCAACAACAAAATAAATAAATAAAGCTAACTACCCCCCCAAAAAACCCTAAAAATAAAATTAATGTTTTAAAAAACCTTTAAAAAGTGTTAACAGCCCTGTGTTTTACAGAGGTGCTCCGAGCTCCCCTGCACAGACAGAAGGTAGTTCCTGTTGGATGCAGAATTACCCCCCAGCCAAAGCGTAGAAATCTGATATGGGGCTTCAGAGAAGGACGCTCAGGAAGATCTCTACAAGTGATGAGAATGAAAGTCCTTAAACGCTCATATTACAGAGAATAAGTGTGGGTGTCCTAGAATTCCGTTCATTTCCAGCATTGACCACACAGTTATCTCAGACCCCGTGCTATCAGGGTCACTCCCACCAGACCCCCCTCCCCAGACGCCAGTCCCGAGTCCTAGGTGCAGACCAGCTGCGAATCTGGGGTTCCCCAAACCCCCTCCTCGGGTTTGATAATTGTCTGGATCAGATCACAGAACTCAGGAAAGCCCTTTAGTGACTTTTTATTACCGATTTATTACAAAGGATATTTCCAAAGACAAACAGCCAGAGGAGGGGGTGCGAGGTCCAGAAGGGTCCCGGGTGCAGCCGCTTCTGTCCCTCTGGGGCTGAGGGTGGCCCACCCTCCCAGGCATCCACCAGCCCAGAAGCTCCCCTAGCCCGGTGGTGCAGGTGTCATTGGAGGTCCCATCATGTGCGTGTGAGTGGTTACATCCTCGGCCGTTGGTGATTGGACCCACACTCCAGCCCCTCTCCTACCACCCCCACCGGGATCAGAGGTGGGTGAGAGCTCCAACCTTCATGTGAGATTGGTTCCCATCTTCAGGGCCTTCCACAAGTCACCGCATTAAAGTAAATTCAGGAATTTATCTAATTGATCTGTGCTGGAAAGGAGCTTATTACGAATAACAGAAGTCGCGTCTCTCACCCCTGGAGCTGCTTCAGGAGCCGGTGACAGAAGCCAAACATGACAAGATACTGTGTCACTCTTACCATGTAGAATTCAGGAGCTCTGACCAGGAGTTTCAAAGGCCAAAATATTTATTTCTTACTATATCATAAGATCACAGGTCCTCAGAATAAAGACCCTTCTCTCCCACCTCGCGCCCTGCAGGGCTGACCGCTGGCCCCTTCGGGCTGCGAGGCCGGTGGTGGGGGGTGGCAGGCAGGAGCGGTGGCAGCTGCGGGCTCCTTCCCACTGGAGAGCCGCAGGACTGGCCCCACAGCTGCCCCAGCCCCTCTCCCTGCGGAGCCAGAGCGCCTCGGCGAGAACACCGGCCTTCGCCCACCAGGAACGTTCTCTGACACTGTCTCTGCCCTGGTCCCGACAGGTGCTGGCATTGACGGCGTGGAGGAGATCAAGCGACACCCTTTCTTCATCACCATAGACTGGAATGTAAGTCGCAGGGACCACAGGGAGGCGGGGCGGGGACCCGGCAGTGGCTTGGTGCAAACCAGAGGTGAATGTAGACCTGTCACCGGAGGGGCATTTCTGTTAAAATGTTCCCAGAGGGAAGACCTGGGGCGGGGGTGGGGCCATCCACCCACCAGAGCCCAGGTGCCCCAGCACCCAGGAAGGGGCAGGCAATCCTCAGGGGTTCTGATCACGCAGGCACTTCCCAGGCACAGGCAGGTCCCACCAGCCCCTACCCTGTGGCCCTCAGCCTGAAATCCTGTGCACACTTTGCCCTTAGAGACCAGCAGCCTGCAGCCACAGCCACTCCCAGCTCCCTGAAGATGGAGCAGAGGCCTCCCTGGGCCCAGCAAGAGGCTGCACAGAGCGCCTGGTTTGGGGCCTGTGGGCAGCCCAGGGTCTGTACCGGGTCTGGCTCTGATCAGGATCATGCCAGCACAAGTAACACTCCCCTGGAAGTTGTTACAGAAAAATGGTATCCAGACCGCAAAAGACAAAGCGTTCTGTGACACTTGTTACAGACGGACGGAAGACTCCATTCAGGGGCCATCACGATGGGGTGGGGGCCACTGTGGGGTTGAGAGAGGAGGCTCAGATCTGAAGACAGCAGGCAAGGGGGCGGGGCAGGCCGGGGGCAGATGGAAAATGACCAAGAAAACACCAGGGCGAGAGGGTTTCGGCTAAACCGACCCACCAGGATTCTCGCTGAGGCGGGCAGGGTGGTCAGACCATGGTCAGATGTCCAGCGTGATCCCATACGGAGGCGGGGTGGTGGTTAAGCTGATGTAGGAGTCCCGAGAGGACTGGGCAGTGCAGGGAGGAGCTCGCATGTCCAGAAGGCGGGCCTGACGGGAAGAGCTCAGGGCCCTGGGCAGAGTCTGGGCGGGGTCATGTGAATCACAGCACCAGGGTGTCGGAGCTGGACTGCAGCTGCCCCCCGGGACGGGACCCCCGACCGTCCGACGTTCCCCCACGGCCTCGCCGGTCCGAGGAGTGCAGCTGGACGCTGGCTCAGAAGTTCCCAAATCTCCCTTCTCCCTGACCTCTGGTGCCGGCTCTGAGGGGAGGGGGCAGCGCGGGCAGCTCCGGACACTCCGGCCAACCGTGGGGCCCCAGGACACGCGGCCCGAAGGCTGGGGCTGCTCCTTGTCCGGAGCAAGGCGGGCCTCCTCTGACATCAAGCCCTGCAGGCCCACCCGATAGGTGGGCACAAAGGCTGTTACATCCGGGGTCTTCTCTTCCTGAGCCAACAAATTGAGCTCGGAGGGTTTCAACAGGATGTTACAAAATGAAAGTGTCCTTTATACTACAGAGGACGGTGTCCACGTTTGCCAGCCCCTCCCTGGGGGCTGGGGCACCCGGGCTCTGGTGGGTGGACGGCCCCACCCCTGCCCCAGACCTTCCCTCTGGGGACATTTTAACACAAATGCAGGATAAAACCAGCAGTTCACCAAGCTTCCAGCCTCGCTCCCCCTGGCTTTCTACATGAACCCTAGGAAGCATCAAACTGGGAGAGTGTGGGGATTTTTAAAGCCTAGTTTGAGTTCTGATCATAGAACTTTCACTAAGTTAGACTCCGTTTCAGAGGTAGGAGTGGAGGAAGGCCAGGACTGCTGGTGTGACAGCCCCGCTCCCACCCACAGGCGCTCAGGGCGGCTGCCTCGCCCTCAGCTGTTACTCGCTGAGCTCCAGGCCCTCCCAGGGCATGGGGACGGAGCAGTGGACGTGACAGGCGGCTTGAGGTCAGGCGCTTAGCATCTGGTTGGGAGAAAGAGACAATCAACAAAGGAGTGTGCCTGGGGTCACATGGAGGATGCCACCCCCATGGAGGAAAATGGGCAGTGGGTGGAAAGGCCGGAGAGGAGGCAGGGGAGCCGAGCCCCCCGCCCTGCATGCCCCACCCCTGCCTCTCCGTGCACCTCGGGGCCGGGCTGTCTGGAGTCTCCTCTCCGGGTGCTCCGCGGCTCCGTCTGCACTGCCCAAGTCTTCCTGTTTGTTGTTTGTTTATTTGTTTGTTTTGGTGGGGGAGGTAATTAGGCTTATTTGTCTATTTATTTTAATGGAGGGGCTGGGGGTTGAAGCCAGGACCTCGTGTGCGCTGACCACACACCCCACCCCTGAGCTACACCCTCCCGCCCTCAAGTCTTCTCTTAAATGCCCTCCTCTCACTGAGACCTCAGACGGTCCTGCTAGCCCCCACAACGGCAGCTCTGCACCCAGCGCCCCTGCGGCCCCGGCCTTGCTCCGTGTCCCGTGTCCTCCGTCCCCGTCCTGAGCACCACGTGATGTGCTGATTTACGATGCTGAGTGTTGTTTCCTGTCTCTGGCTGCTGGAGTGAAAGCGTCAGGAGGTCAGGCGTCTGTCCATTTTGCTTAGAGATGTGTCCCTGGGATGGGGCCTGGACGGGGGAGGCTCTTGTAAAGTCCCAGGTGAGTGAGCAGATGACGGCGTGAGTGATGAGGGAGTGAGTGAGGGACCGAGTGCCCAGACGGGTGTGAAGGGCACCCTTCACAGAGGCGGCCGCGTGGGGGGCTCTGCTCTGCTCCCTCCCTCCGGGTCTCCGGGCCAGCCCTCCCAGCACAGAGGGAACCAGCAGGGCCCTGGGGAACGGGGAGCGGCTCTGCCAGGACGGGCCTTGCTGGGGCAGGACCAGCACGGGAGGGGATCCTGAGGGAGGCTGCGGGCAGGAGCCGCGGAGACGGGTCCCTCACCCAGGACGGGTGCCAGCGAGGACGGGGCTTGTCGTGGGGGGCGGTGGGGGGCGGGGGCCAAGTCAGGAACCTTGACAGCATGGCGGCCTGGAACACTGCAGGCTGGATGGACGTGGGTTCCAGAAAACCCAGGTGTGAGTGAGCTCTGAGCAGGAGCCGGCCTCTCCCCGGTCACAGGAGCCAGGCCGCGGTGCCGGCCGGTCAGGGCAGCTCTGGTGCAGAGTGGGTCCCTGGCTGTGTGGTCAGGGCAAAGTCCCTGGATTTCTGGGCCAAGAAGGTGGCATTTCTGCATGATGTCAAAGCAATTGGGCCGGAATTAAGGCTGGGAAGTTCGTTTTGTTGCTTTTAGCATTTCATTTAATGTTCGCTGGTTTGGTTTTTGAGAGAGGCCCTTCTGACTCACCCAGACGGGCTTACCTACTGTCCACACTTGCCGAAGGGTGACCGGAGGCGGGGACAGAGGAGCAGAAGGCTCTCTTGCATCCCTCGCTCTGGATGCGGCGGGGAGTGAGTGGGGGAGGAGCTCTGACACACACCAGTGTACAAATTGATTTATTTAATGACTCCTTGGCGGTCACCCATGTCAAAGTGAACACGGTGTCCCGGACATGACGACTGAAAGACAGCTGTCCTCCAGCTGCTTCATGCCCAGGGGTGACTTTGTGCAGGAGTGCCGTGGTCCAGCCACAGAAGAGGTGTGCGGGGGGGTGTCCCGTCAGAGGAGGGTGATACTGCAGAGACTGAGGAGAATGGACAAGCTGAGGGGCCGGGGAGGAGAGGGGGGAGTCCCAGCAGAGACCTCTCGGGACCACAGCCTCAGGCCCGCCGCTCAGGCCCTTCCCAGGGGCACTGAGCAGTCCCCCATCTCCGCTGGTCCCGTCCACGCCCGGCATGAGCCGCTCAGCCACGTGGGAGCTGCTGCGTCCTGTGCAACCTCGGGCCCACTCGTGCACCCCGACAGGCGGCCGGCCCCGGCTTCAGAAAGGGGTGTGCGGTCTCCGGCGGGTGATGTTCCTGAACCGTGGGTTTGTCTGGATGTGCTCACGCTATTTTTGGACGCTTAGAAAGCCACAGTGGAGTCATTTGCAAATGTGCCCACTGCCAGGCAAACGCTCTGAATGATGATCTACCCCAGGGCCGGCCCCAGGACTCAGCCTGGAAAACATGAGGCTGTTACTTCACCTCTGCTTTCTTCTGTGACCCCAAAACTGCCAGCAGAAGCTCTTGAGTTCTTTTTAAAGTAAACACCTATCACCCAGCACTTGTCCCCGGGGCTGTGGGCTCCCTGCTGGGGCAGAGTGAGGCCGTGGGCGCTGCACGCGGGGGTCGCTGCCCACTTGTCCTGCTCCGACGTGCAGCTTGCCCTCGGAGCCTAGCACTTAACAGCTGCCTGGGAGGCGTGCTCCCCGAAAGCTCGCTCCCTACCCGCCGACTGGATAAACGAAAAGTGACAAGTGAACTACAGACTGAAAGCGTCTGTCGACGGTGATGGGAGAGTGAGCTGCGCTTACATTTCCCCCGTGGCGGGAGCAGTGTTGAGGACACAAAATCAGCACAAACCCAAAATAAGCTTCGTAACAGTGAACCACCCCGGGCCCCAGGAGCCGGGCCGAGGGAGACGGTCGGGGCAGCCAGGCCCGCTCGTGGGAATCCGGGTTCCGAGGCCAGACCCTCGCTGTGACTGTGCCTCGTGCCTGCAGTGACTTTCACAAGTGCGGGGAGCTTACGCTTGTGTGGTTCTTACGTCCGGAAGCCCTTGCAGGCACGTCATCTGTTGTCACCTGGGAGGTGGGAGAGATTCCTGGGGGAGCCTGAGGCTGCGTGGACCAGCAGGAGCAGAGCGGCGGCTCTGGCCTGCGGTGGGGTTCATGTGCAGAGGTGGGACCCCAGGGGTTGGGTTCCCGGGAGCCGTCAGCTGCTGCTCCGTGTCTCACGCTGCCCGTGTCTGCTTGGGCAGCTGTCTGTCCATCTGTTCCCATGTCAAATACACCAGGAGAGCTCACCTTTTCTGGGAGCCGACAGGTGTCTCTGCTCAGAGACTAATCGCCTTTGGCTCAGGGGTTTGTCCATCCAGAGAACTTGTGTTGGCACCACCGACAGCAGGGCCACCTGGGGAGGGAGCAGTCTGCTCTGCGCGGACCAGACCCAGCAGACATGCCCGTGGCACGCTGGGATCATTTGCATTCTTCCTGTTCCTCCTTCCATCCTGTCAGCGCACCGTGTCTTGCTCTGCAGCATCTCTGCATTGCTATTTCAGGAATCAGCTCTCACTGTGCCCTCTGCCTAATTGGAGCGTGTTAATTTTGAAATGCCAGGAGCCAAAGTGCCTGCAGAAAACAGATGTTAGGTCTGTGACCCCAAACTGGAATCGGTTTCCTCTCCATGATCCAGTCCTATTTTTATTTTACTCCCTCTGTCCTTCCCTCATCACCTGAAGGGCTTTTAGGTAGAAATAGAATTCAAATGCACCTGCTCAGAGCTTCCCGGCCTGTCCGTGTGTGAGGGGGGATCTGTCCCGACGTTGCTGTGGCCAGTGTCATCCTAAGATCCTGGGACAAATGCCGTCATTTAGAGTGGTGCCAGGTAGATCTGGTCACGAGACCCCACTGTCTTTCCACCAGTGTGGGATGAATTGTTCCAGAGACTCGGAGAGGGGGTCTGGGCCAGAGCTACGATGCACCCTGCCAGGCCCAAGGTCCTCCGCGACACACCTGTGCCCTTTGGCGCTGCATTTGACCCCGTGCGCGGCAGTGCGCACTGCAGAATGGGAAACAAGGCCCCTTCTTCCCTAAAACCCCGGGCCCAGTCCTAGGTTTGGACACAGGGAAAGAAAGGACCGTGTGTAACAACACGTCCTGGCACCTCCAGAATGTTTACCCAGTGACAGGAGGGCATCAACAGGCCTTGAAGGTTGCAGCCAACCGAGGGGCGCATCCCAAGGGCAGGGTGACCAAACGCCCCAGGTGGCCTTCACGGCTCTTTGCTGCCCGCTTGAAACCAGGACGAGGCAGCCGCAGCCTCGGGAGACAGAGCGAGTGTTGTTCTGGGGCTGCCCGTGGGCAGGTTACGTCACAGGCGTGAGCTCTGCAGGGACCGGCGTCACGGGGGCAGAGGGGTCTTCGAGGGCACTTCCTGCTGCCCTCCTGTAAGCCTTAAGAGCTTTCTCACAGGGTCCTGGGGTCGCTCCGGCTCTCCCGAGCTGACGCGCGAGCTCACAGAGGCGGTTGGGAAAGCGCGAGAAAACGCAGGTGTGTGCCTGCGCAAGCTGCCGCCAAAAGCCAGAGGCTGTGCACGCTGCAGAGGGGACCGCTGGCTTCTGGGGCCAGCTTGGTGGGCGTCCGCAACTGGGACTCTGCACAGGGCAGACCAGGGGCAAGTGTGACCAAGCCCCACCGTGCACCGTCCTGGGTGGAGACCCCCCGGGCACCACGTCCTTTGTCACTCCCTGACTTATCACTGGAGACTTCCATTCAAAGGAGGCGATGCTCTCTACCCAGATGAAGTCCGCAGCAGCTCACTGTAGGGGACAGTCTGGTTCCGATGAACTCTTCTCCTTAAGGGTGAGGACGTGGAAGTGGGGAGCTGCGTCTCCTCCCAAGGGACCAGGACCACCTCCCTGTCCCCAGGAAAGGCACGTGGAAGGTGGGTGAGGAACGTGGCCGGTGAGTCAACCCAGTTGGAGGTGAACTTGTGCTTTCCAGGTTAGTTAGAATTCTGGAAGGTCTGTTTCTTCCTCTGTGGGATGGAAGGCGGAGGCAGATAACAGGCAGAGCCGGGCGGATTTCCACGGGGACGCGAAGGGGTTCCAGGAAGGTGCCAGGCACCTTAGCATCCCTGCCCCGCTTCTAGCAAGGCTGGTGTAAGTTATACTGTTGATGAAGCAAGGCTGCAGGGGCATCCTGGGCCTGGCAGGACGGTGAGCTGCAGCCCTGGCCTCTGCCCACTGGACGCCACACAGGTGTGACAATCCACATGTCCCCAGGAGCTGCCAGGTGTCCCGTACAGGGCAGAGCCGCCCCTGGCGGAGAAGTACTGGTGTAAGGGGATTCTTTTACCTGATGCTGTGAAGCTGGAGGCAGGTGGAGGCTGCCTGGCCCTGGCTCCTGCTCCTGGGTGTCCCCGTGGTCCCCGTGGGGTGGAGGGGAGAGTCAGCCTGGGCATTGGGGTGAGGAGAGGAACCAAAATGGATGCCCTTCAGCCCCAGAGGCAAAACATCTCCCATTTGGATGAAGTGACAGCCAGCTCTCTGTGTGTCCATTGTGTGTATGTTGAGATGTGATTGTGTCAGTTTCCAGTGGACAACGTCATGCTTTGCTACTTGCATGTACTGTAAAGTGACTCCACGATAAGGCTCGTTAAAATCCACCTCCGCACAGAGCTATAAAAGGTTTTCTCTTGTGATGAGAGCTTTTAGGGGCTGCTCTCGCACAGCTCTCAGACACGCCGTGCGGTCTCACTAGCCAGTCACCGCGCTGTAGGACTTACTGATTTTATGACAGCGGTTCTGTACCTTGCCACCCCCTTTGCTGTTCACCCTCTCCAGCCCCCGGCCTCCAGCAACCAGGTGTGAGCGTGTGTTTTAGCAGAAATCTCCTGTGCAAGTAAATTCCCCCTCATAGTAAAAGCAGGAGTCCTGGCTGTGGGGGCGGGTCCTGCCTCCCGCCCTCTAGCCCCGCCTCCCCCTCTGGGCAGTGGAGGAGGACAGGGGCAGGCTGGGGGTGGGAGGAGGATGTGACTTCTGCTTGATCAGGACGCATATTTATGTAATAACCAGCTCAAATATCGCCGAAGGGGAGTCTCTGGGAGAAGGAGGATGGGTGACCCCCGCAGGGCAGGCTGGGCGGACACTGGTCTCAGGAACAGCCAGCAATTTAATCAGGGCACAGAGCTGCGCGTGCTGATTAGGTTTCCTGTGACAAGTGCGTGCATCAGGGAGGTTTATTCCTCCCCTACCGGTGCGTCAGCGCGGAAAGCAGCATCTTTCTATTTCTGGAGAGGGCTGGCAGAGTCACCTACCCCTGATGAAATCTCTTCACCCTGGGCAGGAAGCGACCAAGTAATTCGAGGCTGAATTAACTCCTCTCTTCGCCTCTGATGGTTCCCAGGTGCACCCCCAGCTCCCGCGTGTGCACGCACAGCCGCCGCGCCGAACCCCAGTGGGAGTGCAGCGGCCCGGGTCAGTGCGTCCCGGGCACTTGACCCCCACTCACGGCTATCTGTGACGGGAGGAGTCTGGAGACGCAGGCCCTCCTCCCATGTGCCCCTTCGTCTCTTTTGACTCTGGACAATTTACCTAATCTTAGCCTCAGTCTCCTTGTCTGCAAAATCAGGTGGTAAAATCTGCTTTTCCACGTTGATGGGAGATTGAGAGCAGATTTCAACAAATCACTGTGCCTGTTTCCCAGACTCACCCGACCAGCGTGGTCCCCGATTCCAGAACTGGTGAAGCAGGAGCTCCGAGAAAGGATCTGGGCTTGGCATTTCCAGCCAGCGCCTGGGGAGCCCCCTAATCAGGCAGGACTGAGGAAACCCTTGCTGACTGGTTTCAGCCAGACCCTCCTCCTGGTTTCCAAGCCCTGGGGTGTCACTGCCAGGTGCACAGCTGCCACCCCCCCCACCCCGCCATGGTTGACATCACCCCCTACTTGTTTGCAGGGCAACCTGACTGAACCCAGCCCTCCCGGCTCCCAAATCCACCTGGGCAGACACCCCCTGGGCCCTGCCTCTCCCGATGCCCACCTCCTGACTGGCATCGCAGGCTCTGGGCTGCCCCTGCCTCCTTCCTCCCACCCACACCTCAGCACCATCCACCTCACTGCCCAGCCCGGTGTTGTTCCCTAAATGGAATTGTCCCGAGAGAATGAGCCCTTCTGAGCCTCAGAGGCTTGGAACAGCTGGCATGAGGGAGTGGCCTCTGCATCTTGTCGAAGGCAGGACCAGCCAAATTAATCCCAACCCCCGGTGTGGGCGGTTCTCTGACAGGAGCTCCCACGGGCCTGTTAAAAGCGCACAAACGTGTGAAGCAGCACAGAAGCATGACTCAGTCACGCGACTTGAGCAGGGGGTCTGGTGACAACCAGAGTGGGTGCCCCAGGGACCCGCACAGACTCTGGGGTGTGGGTGAGGGAGGACCCAGATCAGTTCTGGGTCCCCGCGGAGTCGCAGGGTCCCAGGCACCGGCTCCAAGGCGGCTGGGGTGGGGAGGATGGTGCCAAGCTGCAGGGTTCCTGCTGCTGCTCCCCGGGGTGGGGCGGGGGCCAGGCGTGGCTGCCCTGGCAGACTTCAGTTGAAGAAAACAATTGCACTCCCTCAAAAAGGATGAACACCACTGCCCTAAAATAATGAATACACAGATGTCCCCAAACCCTTATCCCTTGAACCATGGCTTTGTATGTCTTTATGGAGTATGTGGCCATACTCTATGTCATATACAATATATATCACATTGTATATATGTTCCTAAACACGCCAGAGCTCTAGGAAGTACACTGTGTGGTGACACCTGGGTGGCAAATGGCACGCACATTGTCCCCACCCACGTTCCCACCCGCCGGCCCCTCAGCGCCCTGTCTCGCTCTCCCCACAGAAGCTGTACAGGAAGGAGATCAAACCGCCCTTCAAGCCGGCAGTGGGCAGGCCGGAGGACACCTTCCACTTCGACCCCGAGTTCACGGCGAGGACGCCCACAGGTGTGTGCGGCGGGGACTGGAGCCGGCCTGTGGTTCTTTCTGAGGGGGGTCCTCCAACCCGGCCAGGTAGGGACAGGCATTGGGAACCAGAGAGTCCCGTGTTCAAGGGTGCTGTCCTGGAAAGTCGTCCTCAGTTCTGTGTGATGTTCTTGCTTCTCTGCTCGTAAAGGCTTACGTGATAGACCCAATTCTCAGCCAAGCCCCAGCTAACCCCCAGTTTGCAGCTCTCCCAGGCGCTCTGTGGACCCCTCACCTCCTGCTACCTCTTGGCCCAAGTTGCCAGTTCAATGACCACGTCTATCAGAAGGACACACACCAGCAAGCTCAAGAAAACCTGGAGATCAAGACAATCTCTCATTTGATTAGAAAAATTCTATGGGAAGTTAAGTCTATAAGTGCATGAACTATAGAGCTGATTAATGCAAAAAAAACCAAACACCTGTTTGAAAAGTCACAGCAGTTACTGGAGCTCAGCAGAGCAGATGGACTTGTGAATTTAGCTTCCATGATGTCTTAAATGACTCCTAAGGTCTACCAAATCCAGTCGGAACTGGTCAGCTCCCTTGGAAGGTTGTCATTTTGTGATAGGAATGAATTAATGCTGTTTTTTGGAAGCGGGCACTGTCCCAGCCTGCTCAGGTTGCTGAAACGAAGCGCCACACCGGGGCCGCTTCGGCTTGGGTTCTGTGAGGGCTCGCCTCCCGGCTTGCAGACAGCCGCCTTCTCACAGGTCCTCTCGTGGCCTCACTCTGTGCTTGAAGAAAAGGAGAGAGAGGTCCCTGGTGTCTCTTCCTCTTCTTACAAAGACAGAAGCCCTTTTGGATCAGGACCCCACCCTCGTGACCTCATTTAGCTTTAATTACCTCTCTCCAGATACAGTCACGTTGGGCTTGAACATGTGAGTTTTGTGGGACACAGTTGGGTTCGTAACAGTCAAGGTATGGTGGTTTTGTTTAAAAAAAATGCTGCATGATGTGTACATGGGGGTTACCATGCTTTTCTCACTGTTGTTGAATCTGAAATTTTCTATGATTTAAAGAAGATAATCATGAAACAAAGAGATGGTCACATACAAACTATCAAGTGGAGAAAGCTGGAACAGAGAATCCACTTGGCTCCCTCTGGGCCTGGGCTCTCGGGGAGGACCTGTTTCCCGTACCCCAGCTGGGTGCACCAGGGATGTGAGCCACGTGCACGCAGAGTTGGCTGCGCCTTTTAGTGGGCCTGGGGCAGCCCCGAGCCACGCAGCGGGGCCTCCGGGAACAGGAGGGAGGCGGACTCGCCGTGCGATCGATTAGGGAGTCGTGACCCGGCCTCTCACTCATGTCTTTCGGGTCCACCTGCAGTCCCCTGATAAAGCCAAGACTGTCCTCAGTGACAAAGCATGAGTGATGAACGCTGTCACAGCTCTGCGTAATCTCTGCTGCGAGGTTTCATGAGGCCTCCGAGGAGGGGCAGGAAACCCGGGTCTGTTCCTTCTCACAGGGACGGTGGATGGTCCACCCAGTTCTCAACTTCGAGCGTTCTCGTGCGCAGCGGTCAGTCCTTACTGTTGACAAAATCAACCCAATTCACAGAATCAGATCACTTTTTAGCTTCAGAGGTTGGAAAGATGCAGGGTTTGCAGATTCCATCCTGGCTGTGCCCACAGCTCACCTGAGCAGGTCAGGCTCCTCCTCCTCCTGTGGCTTACCTGAACGCAGAAACGACTCACCCCACCGAGGAGCACTGCCTGTGGCCAGGCTCACACGCCTCCAGCTCCTTAACGAAATGTGCAGTGTTTTACAGAGGGTCTCTGTCATTTGGAACTCTGGGTTATGATCCTGGAAATAAAGACTGTATGTGTGCTGCCTGGCAAGAAAATGCTAACATAGTCAACTCTAAATTATCCACCCAGGCATGCTTTTTGAATTATCCGTGAAGAATTTAAATTCTGACCTAACCAGCCTGTGTGATTAGCCGGCTTTTTTAAGCACCCCATAAACCTTTTGTGCACAGAGAATTCAATTTGATTTTATTATTAGCCTCAGGAAAATGTAATAAGACACAATGCATTTTAATGCTATCCAGAAATGGCTTTTTAAATTCCTTGCTATTTAGAATTCTCCAATCAATGGTACTTAAAGTTAACTTGTTGCAGGACACAGTTTGCCTTTGAGGAGGTAGTAATTGAAGTGCTAAGGCACAGAAAAAATCATTCACCCTATATTTATGTATTTATAAGATGGCGTTTTCTACGCACGTGAGCTGGGTGCACAGACATGTTATGTGACTCTGAAACATCCTGTTAGACTTGGCCACACAGTCGGAATTTTTTCTAGTGGCTTTAAAATCTCTTTTTTAACTTAAGTCAATGCTAAAGCTGGTTGGTATTCCCTGATGACACATGAGCTGCCCATCAGAGCAGGGTGACCAGTGGGAGATGCCAGTCTCGGGCTTAAAAACCCAGCAATCATGTTGCTCAAATCAGAAGTCACTTGTAGAATCAACAAAGGTTGATTGTCCTCAGCTCTAAATTTCCTTTCATTCCAGCTCATGTCTTAGCTTTTCTTTTGGTGCTGAGCTACAAGTTGACGTCCCCAGCGGATTAGAAAGCGTGTTAAATGCTGTTGATGCCACCCCTCAGTTGGTCACCATCTAGACACACGGACTGACTGCAGGACGTGTTAACCTCTCTGGAAGGTCCTGTGAACCTCAGCAGACTCCTCCTGCATCCCTGCCAGGAGAGGCAGCCCGGACAGCGGGAGGCACGGCCCTGGGCTTCATGCCTCCTTGTTGGTTAAAAGTTACTGCTTTTTTTCCGCCACTGAAAAATAAAAAATAAATAAATAAAGGCATTGCTTGTTCGCTCTACAGGCCTCCCGTGCCCAGGGGAAAGTGAATCGGTTCACGCGAACCGGACTGCACCCTCCCCCGCGCGCACCCGAGGCGCGGGAGACCAGCCTGCGCTCCTCCCGGCTTCCAGCCTGCGCGCGGCTCCCGCGAATTCCGGGGATGCGCCCACGGTCTTCAGCCTAGAACCTGCACCTCTGGGGCTGACGTCTGCTGTACCCTCGCTCGGTGCAGACCTGGTGCAGGGCGAGGTGCCCGGGGGACTCTGAAGAGCAGGCAGCCCTCAAAGCCTGAGTTCTCTGCGGGGAAAAGAAAGGCGG